CCGGGCAGGCAGAGGCAGGCAGCAGGCGGGGGAAGTGGGGCTGGCACAGCCAGGGACACAGCCTCCGAGCAGAGGAATTCTCCCACTTGCAGTCAGAAGCACAGGACAAGCATCTGGCATGAGGTAAGCACATAAAGGAGTAAAATACCATTAAGCGTAATAAGAAATGTACTTAATCAATGAGCTCCACAGCTGAGGATCAATGGGAGGCAGACACAGCCATTAGCTAAGAAAGCTGAGAAAGAGCCCCGGGCTCTGATGCAGTGGTCGATACGGGGTTTAACCGAGCAGCTGAGGAAGGGTCCCAGGTGGGGGCAGAGCTGGGGCAGAGCCAGGAGAGACGAGGCTGACCCTGCCCCACTCCTCAGGGCCCAGACCCAGCAGAAAGAGCCCCAGGGCACGGCTGGCTGAGAAGCCCCAGGAAGCACCCACAGCCCCTGGAACCACACAGAAGACACGCAAACTAGATGGAAAAGTCACCCTCCAAGGCTTTGCATCAGACCCAAGCACAAAGAGCTCCTGCAGAGTCAGGGCTTACCCAGGCCCAGCCTTGAAAGACGCCATGCCCCAGTGCCCCCCATGCTTGGAGCCCGTCTGGGTGGTGCCAGCACTCGGCTGAGCCACCACACATGGGGCTTCCTCAGGAGAGAGGCTTGATTTTCACCCTCTGAGCAAATTCAGTGCTCAGGAAAGCCGACAGCCCCAGACAGCGTGTGGGCCCCCCTCCAGGTCCTGCTGACAGCGCTGCAGCTGACTCAGCCCCGGCACCGAGACCCTGCCTCGTGCTCCACCAAACACCCAGCTACTCACAGCATCCTGACCCCATCCCTAACTCCAGCTCCACGCTCCCTTTGCACACCCCCTGAGGCTGTCACCCACAATCCTGACCCATTACCCTGCTTCCCACCTCCCTAAATCCCAATGGCCAGGACCTGACCTGACCCAAGCTACGGAGAGCAGCAGCACCGATGTCTGCAGGTGAGCCCTCAGGGACCAGGCACAACCGGTGCTGTCTCCAGAGCATTAGAGCAGGGGGTTGTGCTGAAGGCAGATTTCTGTGTGTGCATGTGAAGAGAACGTGAGACAAGCGGCTGTCCCCTGAGGTCTCTCCCAGGGGTGGGCTCCTGCCTCCCGCTGGGGCTGAAATCAAAGCCCTGATCCCAGGGGGCTGCTCCTGGCCCCCGCCACTCTGTGCCCACCCTGTGCAGGGCACGCTGCTGCCACTGCCCCCTCCCAGCCCTACAGGGCCAGCTGCCTTGTGGCCCAGACAAGGACTGGGGGGGGCACACACACACATTTCTGGGGGGACCCGAGCACTGATTTGGGGTAGATGCCAACAGCTCTGCCCCTTCCCTGCAGACCAAAGGCGTTCAGCAGCGCGGTCCCTCGCGTAGGAAGGGGACAGCACGACCCCAGCCCAGCCGATAAGGGCAGCGGGCGGACCCCCGGAGGGGGCCCCGGTCCCGGTGGGGGTCCTGTGCTCCCCCCAAGCATCGGCGGCCGAGCGGAGCCCCCAGCCCGGTCCCGGCGGCGGCCGAACAGCAGCACCTGGCGGCCAGGCCGGGCACGGCCGCGCCGGGGTCCCCGTCCCGGGGGGGTCTGCGCCCTCCGAGGGACCCCCTTCGGCTGGGAGGCACCGCCGAGGGGCTCGTCCTGCAGGGCAGGGGAGAGCTCGCTGGGGACTCCTGGGCATCCTGCGGGGGGCTTTAGCGCATCCCTGCCCCGCACCGGGCATGGCACTGCCCAGGGGTCGTCGTGGTACGGGCACGCAGGGGGAGCAGCACCCCTGCACCTGGGTGTGCAAGGCTCCCGAGCAGCTGAAGCCAGGTCCTGAGCAGCCTGTTGCTGCACTCACCTGGGGCAGGAACAGTCTGGGGGATTCTCAGGGCTGCCCGCAGACCCCACACCATGCTCTTTCAGCCCCCTGGGGCCAGCTCTGCAGCCAGGCTGGAGGTGACACTGCACCCAGAGCAGATCACAGCACCCACACTTGCTCCTGCTGGCCCCAGGGCTCTCCAGGTGATGCTGTGAGCACCAAGGGAGCGGTGTCACGGGGGGTAAGGCACCAAGCCATCACCTCCACCTGGCTGCCCCAGACACAGCTCCTACTGACCCCCAGCAGCTCCACAAGCCTCTCCTTGCTCTCAGTCCTGGCCCACTCAGCTGCAGAGCTCCTCCTGGTCTTGCTCACTGGGGCAGCATCACAAGAGGTCCTAGCACTAGGTACTTTACGGCACTAATGAACTTATCTAGGCCATTGGTACACATGTAATTATGTGCCCAGAGCCACGAGGAGCACTGCAGATGTTTACCCTGTGTGTCTGAGCTGCACCAAACCAATGAAGGAGGCTGGGTGAGCAGGTGCACACAGGAGCACTTTGCTCAATTTGTTTCTCGCTCTCAGAGCCACCTTCTCCCCTTTCCTTCCTGCCCTCTTTCCAGCAGGCTGCACACACGATGCCTTTACCCCTGGGGTAAGCCAACCTCTCTACAGGACAGAGCTCCTTGGGACTGGGCAGCAAGGCAAGCAGAAGGAATCAGCTCCCTGCTTCCCACCAGCCCACCCCCTGCCCCAGGGTCCCAACTCATCTTCCCGCAGGGGACAGCAGAACCCCCCCCCCCCCCCAAACCCCTGCTCTGTACCTCTTCCAAAACAGCCTGTGGTTGGGTCTGCATCCTTGTTCCCCTTCCTGGGGGTTCTTCCCTCTAGGCTCAGGCAAGGAAACACCAAAAGGGCCCTTAGGCCACAGAGGGCATTTATAAAGTGCCCCAGAATCCCCTCCAGCAGCTGGCGATCTCACCTGTGGGGCTCTGCCCAGCTCCTTAATCCCTTTAGCAGCAAACAGCTCCAGCTGTGCCAGTAACAAATCCCCTCTGACATGAGCCCTGCAGAGCCAAGTGACTGCTCTGCGGGAGAAAGTGTGAAATTCCTGAGGGAAATTCAAGTGGCAGCTTTTGTACTGCATCTCTGAGAATTTTGCAATTTTATTTTCCATTAAAAAATAAAGAAGGAAGGAAGGAAAGAAATCCATCCCCTGCCTTCCTGACCCAAGTGTCCAGCACATGCTCAAATTTCGCCCTGATCAGCCCAGCACTGCCTGGGTGCTGCAAAGCAGCAATGCCCTGACCGAGTGGGGAAGCTGCATTTTCACCCAAGGGTGCTGGGTATGTCTGGTTTTGTACAAGCTGGAAACAGAAGCTTGGCCCCAACCAGCATGCTTCAAACTTGGGTTGTTCCACTGGCAGTGACTTGTCTGTGCTCATAATTTTTATTTTATAGCACCTTAATCTGTATTTTCTGAGTTAATTAGCACAAAAACGTGGGGAAGGATAGTCTCAGCCTGCAAGGCATTTACAGCCGCAAGGAACAGGGATGAAGAAGCAAAACCCTGGCATGTGGTGGTGGATCGTGCAGCTTCTGCAGGCAGCACTGGGACAGAGGCAGCCCCCAGCCAGGCACAGGGACATACCGTGTCCCCTGTGCCCCCCCCAGTGCTGCAGCCAGCGCGGTTCTGCTGCAGGGCTCCAACCTGGGGGCACCGAGCATCCCTGCGCCTAGCGCCTCCAACCCCATTAGGTGCAGGGACTAATGACCTGTGCTGTCCAAGGGCAGCTCGCTGCATGCTCCAGTGGTTGCTTCCAGGCCTTGGGAGGACCAGCGGTGTCAGCAAGGGGCCCACAGCGAGCCCAGCAGGGAAATGATGGCCCCGCAGCAACCACCAGCCTCAGACGCGGCCGCTCGTGGGGCGAGAGCTGGGGTGCTGCTGCTGCAAGATCAACTGCATCAGCCTTTTTAACAGTGTCTCCAGGTAGGGAGGCCAAAGGTAATGTTCTTTATCTGTGCTTCATGCTCCACAGATACTGAATATCAAAATGTGCCTTGAAACACTCCTATTATTAAGTATTCCTCAGAGATTAGAGCAGTGCTTACTTCTCACTATCCTTTTACTTTCCCAGTAGAGCAGATGAACACGATAACTTATCAGGACCTTCCCATGTGCTGTTAGGCAGTAATGGCATGGGGACTTACTGACCCACCTCAGAACAACACGCGGAATATTTAGGACTTCTCCTGAGCTGGGCAGGCGATAAGATCTTTATCGTGCGAACCCTTTAAACCCTCAGTGCCTGGCAGGCCCCTCCGTCCTCACTGAGAGGACAAATTAGACCCAGGGGACAGGCAGCGAATGCTGATAACAAAAGAGTTCCTTCAGCAAACGCGGGGCCGGGGCCTGCAGAGCTGCCTCCAGCCCCGGGCCTGCCCCTGCCCTCAGATAGCAGCAGCGGCAGAGCCAGGGCCCGGCCTCCATCGCAGCCTGGGCTCACGGTCACGGCCTGCAAACACAGGGCCCGACGCTGCCCCCTGACTCGTGTCAGCCATGGTGGGAAGGCCCAAGCCTCCTGCAATGCCCTTGCACTCTTGTCCCATGCCACACATGGGAAACAGGCACGGAGGATGGGGTGGCAGTGGGATGTTGGGGTCCTGAGGGGTCCAGGCGGGAGTGCTTGGGGTGCTCGGGACTACAAAGGGACTGTCGCAGGCCAGGAAGGAAGAGCCACGGGCACGAAATGCCAAGGAACGAGCCCAGGCAGAGCTGGGGAGGCCCTAAGAGATCGTTGTGCGTGGTGAGGCAGGGGAATGGCTCTGCAATTCGGGAGCGAGGCAGATAAGGAATAAATCTGGAACTCAAGCAGAGAGGGAGATGAGCAAAGGCATGAAGGTTGAGAGTTCAGACCCCGGGGACCCATGTCAACCTCTGTTACATAAGTCTAGAAAAACCTTAAACTTGGTTTTGCTGATAAATGAGTCACCGGCAATGATAAAACCCTGGAGATGTCATAAAAATTATAGACATTGATAAAACGGGATATCGATACAGCAAAGCTCAGCAGCATGGCGAATGGACGAGGGCCACCGCCCCATGGCCATGAAGCAGAGCAGGGCTCAGCGCCCACGGCAGCGAGGGAGGTGATGAGGTCCCCACGGGGCTGAGGACAAGATGCTACCCGCGGGCTGGCCACAGGCTCGACCTCTGGAGCACATCTGGAGGCTGCCGGTGTGATCAGGCCCAGGAAAGAGCCCCTTTCCTCACCGTGCAGCTCCACGGAACCACGTTGTGGCACCTCAGGGAAACCAAGCCCCTTTGTGAACCTCTGCGCACCTCCCAGGATGGACAAACAGCTCTGGATGCGAGGCAAGTTGCCTCAGGACCTTCCTCCAGCTCAGACCTTGTCATGGAACAGGAGAAATCATTGAGCTCAGTCCTTCTTACAACCTCCTCCTCCAAGGCTGCCCTATCCCGTTTTAACACACTCCATCACCTTTTTTTGTTGGTGGCAGAGAACTCATTTCCCCTTCACCAGTAGGAAGAGGCTTTGATCACTTGCTGGGGACCTCCTGCCAGTGCTCACCCCAAACACTGTGTGCCCTGCAGCACTTCAGGCCACTGCTCGCAGGGCACAGAGCGGGGAGAGGGCACAGCACCGGGGGACAGGGGGACAGCACGGGGAGCAGGGAGGCTGTGGAAGGACGGGGCTGCCTGCAGACAGCAGCCTCAGCCACACCAACAATACTTCACGTTCATGAGTGCCATAAAGCAGCACCCAGCCCCACGGAGGAAGGAGGCAGGTTTGGCGTTGGAGTCAGAAGGAAATCCCAGCTAATCCAGCTCAGTTAGACAAAAACAAAGAGGATCATACTGATACAAAGTTCTGGCTAAAGCCCTGCACCTGGTCAGCATTTGCAAGATTAGATAAGGACTGAACTTAGTCCCTTCCAGTATATATTAACACGAGCTCTCTGGATGTCTGGGCTACTCCAGTTCAAGGGCAAGAAGATGTTTGCTTCTCTGGGGTTCCTATTTGCCATCCTCTCTATAGCAAGATGTGTCCCCGTGCAGCAAGCAGCCAGCCGCGACTAAAGTTCTCCTGGTGTCCTTCGATGGCTTTCGGTGGAACTATGACCAGGACGTGGACACCCCCAACCTGGATGCCATGGCAGCAGAGGGAGTGAAGGCACGGTACATGACTCCTGCCTTTGTCACCCTCACCAGCCCGTGCCACTTCACGCTGCTGACCGGTGAGTCCCCACCTGCCAGAGCAAGCAGAGCCCCAAAGGGGGGTGCAGTGTGACGTTTAAAGAGCAAATTCAAGGCTTAGGTTTAAGGGAAGCTAAGTCAAGCTAGGACTACCCAAGTACTGGCCTCAGTAGCATGGTAAGCTTTAGCACATATGTATTTTGGCAAAAGAGCCAGAGACATGGCAATAGTTGCATAAGCTGAACCTGTATTCATCAAAGGTAAATAGCATCAGACTAACCTGGTAGCCTCATTTTATAAGATAAATGATTTTTTAAATAAGGGAGATGCAGTAAATCTCATCTTTCTGGACTTCAGCAATGTATTTGATACAGTGCCGCATGGGAAATCATTAGTTAAGACGGAGAAGATGAAGATTAGTACAAAATCTCTAATGTGGGTAAGTAACCGGCTGCAGGGAAGGCAACAGCAGGTAATACTGAAAGGAGACTGACAAGCTAGGGAGGGTAACAGGGGAATTCCTGGGGAATCGATTCTGGAGCCAATCTTATTTAAGATTTTCATTAATAACCTTGGCATAAAAGAGTGGTGCATGCTAATGAAATCTGCTGATGAGAAAAGGCAGGGAGGCGGCATCAATACAAAGGAGGACTGGGATATCATGCAGAAGTAACTGTGCAGTCTTGAGGACTAGAATAATAAAAAATAGCATGAAATGTGACAGTGCAAAGTGCCAGCCTTTCATTTGTAAGGGGAATTTCTGCTTTATGCTGACCTTAATCATTGTGAACAACAGAAAACGAAACACCAAAGCAATTAGTTAAATGCAGCATAACGGTGAACCCTAAATGTGATGAAAAGGGCAGGAGCAACTGCAGGAGGCAGCTGCGCTTCCAGGGGAGAGGGGGGGTCAGGGCGAGAGCCACCCGCACCGTGGGCCCCTGGGACTCACAGCATCCCCCTGCAGCCTCTCACGCTCTGCTCCTGGCCACCCAATGTGGTATGAGCCAGGTGGAGGAACGAGGCAAAAGCAAAAGGACAGCCGGGAAAGGGGAAGGAGAGACAGAGAAACAGACACGGACTTGGGAGTCCGGCGGGAGCCTGGCTCACACCCGCCTCGTCCATCTCTTCTGACAGGGAAATACCTCGAGAACCACGGGGTGATACACAACATGTGGTTCAACACCAGCACGGGGGTGAAGATGCCCTATTACGTCACGCAAGGCATCAACAGCTGGTGGGACAACGGCAGCCTGCCCATCTGGATCACAGCTCAGAGACAGGCAAGTGGGGCAGGCTCCTCTCGCACGCAGACCCCGAGACAGAGGCGTCTCCTGCCTGCATTCATGCAGTAAAAGCTACAGGCAAGCCACGATCTCTAGTGGCCATGAGCTAACATCCTCCTTGCAAATGACAGGCTAATTAGAGCAGCAAAAAAATTTAAATCCCCAGACACTGGCAGGAATAATTATGATCATTCTATTAAAAATAGCAAAAAATAAAAGATGCATTTCAGCTTTATTAAGATATTAATGAAACAGGTTATGCATTTCCTGTTCAAGGAAACCCCAGCCAGTTCTTTAGGGAGCATAACAAGCCCAAGCGCTGTGTGCTCCTAAGCACGTACCTCATTTCCTCGGCCTCACCCAGCACCTTCGGGGGACCGGTGTGGGGGGCTGGTCCCCTCTTCACTGAGCACTGCAGCCCTTCACTGAGCACTTCCTCAAATCTCAGCAGGCTTTGAATCTGGCTTTAAGACAGGACACAAGACCTTGCCCCAGACGCATACCTTTGCCTGTATTTACCTGCCAAATTGGCCCCATTGACTTCAGTGTGAGTGCTTGTATGACGGCAGCACGGCACACCATAATGCCCTGGTGGTCAGGAGCCAGAGGGGCCATGCAACGTACAAACAAGTCACTTTCTAAAGTGATAACTAATATTAGTAACACAGCGAGAAAACCAGCACATAGGGGTTCTGGGAAGGGCAGAGCTTTCAATTAATCACTTTTAATTGGCAATGAGCAAGAAAACCTCATTAGAGGCAGAGGTAGACATTAGGGGGCTGAATGAACTAACCGCATTAGTAGGTAGTTGTTGTACTGACAGATGGAGAGATGCTGCAGAGTGAGTTCAGGTGGGTTTATGCAATGTCTTCACTAACAGGGTTTAAAGACAGGCTCCATCTATTTCCCTGGGGGGAGAGCAAAATATCAAGGGGAAGAAGTGAATATGAAGATAGTGGAGCCCCCCATATTCAACTACAGCAATGAAACCAATTGGAGACAGAACATCGACACTGTGATGGAATGGTTCACGGTGAACAACCTCGACTTCATCGCCCTCTACTTCGGTGAGCCAGACTCAACGGGACACAAGTACGGCCCCGAGTCCGAGCAGAGGAAAGCCATGGTCAGCCAGGTGGACAGAACCATCGGCTACTTAAGGCAACGTATCAGGGAAAGTGGCTTGGAACCAAACCTCAACCTCATCATCACGTCTGACCACGGCATGGAGACTGTCATAAAGACCAATGAGATTCACATCCAGACAGTAGAGAACTTCACGTTCAGCGACATCCAGTTTGAACTCTTAGACTACGGACCAAACGGACTACTGATACCGAAAGAAGGGAAATTGGAGCACGTGTATTCAGTCCTGAAAAATGCCCACCCAAAGTTACATGTGTACAAAAAAGAAGAGTTTCCAAAGAGATTCCACTATGCCAACAACCCCCGGATCACCCCGCTCCTGATGTACAGCGATCCGGGATATGTGATCCACGGGGTAAGATGCATGCACAGATGCATGTTGCTGTCTTTTCTTGGCTCTGCTTCTTTCTTTCTCTCCTCACGCCACCTCTGGGGAGCTGAGCCAGGGACCGAGGGGTCGGGGCGCTCACCCCCTGCCTCCCTTTCAGCGCTTCAAGGTGCAGTTCAACAAGGGGGAGCACGGCTTTGACAACGAGGCCATGAACATGAAAACCATCTTCCGCGCCGTGGGGCCGGCCTTCAAGCAGGGGCTGCTGGCCGAGCCCTTCGAAAGCGTCAACGTCTACGCGCTGCTCTGCGAGCTGCTGGGCATCGTGCCCGAGCCCCACGACGGCTCCCTGGAGGTCCTCAAGCCCCTGCTGCGTGAGTGCCCCGCGGATGGCTGCGGGAACACCGACATCTAGCGGCGGCCGCCCGACGGCCGCAGCCGCTGCGGGGCTGCTGCGGGGCCGGAGCCTCGTGGGGGGCTCCCTCCGCTCCCCCCCCCCACGGCACAGCGGACCCCGGGCCGGGCCTGAGCCAGCCGGCAGCCGGGCAGCTCCTGCTGTAAGGACGTCTAAACGTCCCCAAAACGCCCAGCCAGGCTTTGCGCAGCCGGTAGAGGTTGGAAACGGGCGGTGCTGCGGCCAGCGGAGCAGCATTCTCGCAGGGAGCAGGGGATGCAGAGCGGCTGCTTGCTGTGCCCAGCCCCCTGCACGAGCTCCATGCTGCGGGAGGGGGCTGCTGCTGCTCCCCTGGGCAGAGCCCGGCTCCCCGCTTTAATGCTGAACTTTCACCATTGCAGGTTCAAGCGCTCCTCTCCTTGCTGCCACGAAGCTGTCAGTGATGCTGGGGATTGCTCTCACTCTGCGATGCTGGGGAGGAATATACTAAACCCCCCCTAGCAGAGGTAACGTATTCCAAGGATAGCCAGACAGCTCTGTGGAGGTGCTGCCTTGTCTAGGCACGTGCCTGTGTGTTGGCTGCAAGAAAAAGGATAAAAGTTTGCTGTTTGTCTTCAATGTGCATATATGCCTGGAGACCTAGCCGGACGAGCAATTCTCGGTCTCATTTCCTGGCACTTCCAGCACTGTGCATGCACAGCCGACATCCACAGGCTGGACACACAAGAAATAAGCACCAACAGCACCATGCTTTCCTCTCTTGACAGCCTCCAGGTTCCAGGCAGCTCTACCAGAAATGTGTGGGGAGGTGAGGAGGAATGTGTCTGAAGAAGACAGCCAGAGAAGTGTATGGAGACCCCGCTCCAAAACCTCCCCAATTTTCTCATCCACATTCCTCCAGCGTTACTGAGTCCCAGAGTGGGGAAGCCCTCCCCAGCTGTGGTGTGCACCAGGGATGCACGGCTGTGGAAGCTGACACTGACGCTCAGTGTGACCCTGACAAAAGCATCCTGTGTCGGTGCTGCCCCAACTTCCCCATCTGCTGAAGGGAGAAAAACTCCAGCTTGGTTCGGACGAGGGACAGTTATTACATGATGAGCTTCTAAAGCAATTAAAAGCATATCTAAGTTCTGCATGTGCCAAGAAGCCTTCTGTAATTGGTGCTGGACTCCAGCACAGGGTACACGGAGAAGGCAGGGGTCTTGTCCTGTCTCTGCTGGCTGCAGGAGCTGCTCGGGCTGCTCAAGGGCCCCTGGCTGTGGCAGCGGGGTCAGAACAAGCTCAGCTTTGGCAAAGGCAGCGACCGGGCGCAGCAGCCTCAGAGAGATCCCAGCATCGCTCAGCGTCTCCTGCCCCTGCCCTGAGCCCTGGGTGCCTTGAGCATTGGTTCTGTTTGTCCAGCCAAAATTTTCTGTCCCTTATGGCTGTGGACAAAAATGGGCAAACAGCACCCACCCAAGCTCAGAACCCACAGCAGACAGGAGAAGCTGTGGCTGCGGTACTCCAGGCAGCGCTCAGGAAATGTCACCCACCTGCAGCCCTGATCCTGGGCTGTAGATCCTCCTCCTCGGAGCTGTGGGAGGGGGCCTTAATCCCTGCTGTATTTTGGAGAGGCAGAGGGATGGAGCAGCGACGTGGCCTGGGCCCACCTGGGCCTTGTGGCACCCTGTCCCCCTCCTGTGCCGCATGGCTGATGCACCTCGGATGCAGGAGGCCCTTGTACGAGGCCAAAACTCCCTCCCCTTTAGGAAGCAGCCCGGGATCCCTCAGCTGGGGCTCAGGACAGGGAGCAGGACAATCCCACCATCCCAGAGCCTGGTCCCTGCCCTCCCAGTGGGCACCAGCAGGGCAGCTGCCCCGGCCCCCATCCCAGATGCTGAAGCGCCTCTCCCCAGCCCCCGTGCCTCATCTCAGGGGCTCGATAAACATCTGTTGCCATAGAGACTTGCTCGAGCTGCCTTCCCTGCATTGGTTTCACCCAACAAGATGAAACAAGAGACGCACACTCCACTCAGAAAAACAGGAAGAAAATGTTTGGCTTGAAACCATATTGGGGGTGGGGGTCAGGCCAGCAGCACGCAGAGTAAATGGTCCATTAGGCAAACTACGGGGAGGCTCCGAAAGGGGAGCCACACGGGCCAGCACTGCAAATATCATTTAAAATAATATTAATAATGATAAGAGCTCAGCGACTTTCCCAGTCATCCTGCTGGTGATTTTGGGACTTTCTGCACAGGTCAGTGCAAACAGCGCCCTGGGCTGCGATGGCTGTGCCGGCCGTGCCGCTGCCGTACCGAGCCGTGGGCCACTGTGCTCACCAGGCAGCAGCCGGTGCTGGCTGTGGGCTGGGTGGCTGCTGGTGCTGAGCTTCTGCGAGGCTTCAGCTTGCCTGGCACGGGGAGGGCTGCCCTCTGCAGCACTGCTTGGGGACAACACGGAGCTGGAGCTTCACGCGGAACAAGACGGGGCCACGCAGCCCCATTCCTGTGGCCACTGCAGCCTGGAAGACCACCAAGTGCTCAGCCCAAATTCCAGCCCTGGTTGCAGTATGATGCATGGGCTCGCTTCTAGGGATGCCCTGGAGATTCACATCGTGCACTTGTTCAAATCTTCCAGCCCTCCCCATCCCTCTGACTGTGCAGCCCCGGAGTTACGGATGCTTCATGTCACAGGGTGAGGCCGATTCTCCCCCTCTGCAGGGGTGTAGGGCGGTGTCACCCCACAGACACTCAGAGCGGGCTCAGCCCAAGCCAACCGGTGACCCCCTGCTCCCCAGCCCAGGAAGTTTCCAGCCCAGCCCCTCCCTCTCCCCATGCAAACTCCAAAATGCAGAAACCCAAACCCCAAATGTTGTCCTTCTTTGAGTCCTTCCAGCCTTTCCCTTCGCATCTCACACCGTGCACGTTTACCACGCGACATTTCAGCCACTCAGCCAGCAGACAAACCCCTGCCCAGCCTCGCTGGCAAACCTGGTGCTGGTCGGCACTGCTCAGCCGTGGCTGCCTGCAGCCGGGCTCACCAACATTCCTGCTCTGAGTGCTGCGCCTCCCCCGCCTCCCATCCCCACGTAATTCATTCCCCACCGCCCCCCCTCCCCAGGGCTGGGGGTCACGCAGCAGGGAGAGGCCTGTTGTGTATTGCATCCCAATTTGCTATGCATTTCCACACCATTTGCTTCCCTTTCTTTTTCCTGCGCTAGAAAGATGCTCGCTACCCAGGGGTCCAAACTGCTCCGAGACGGCAGCATAACAACAAACATCTCCATACAGATATTTATTTATTTACAGCGCACACGCAGCTTGCAGGAAACCTACTGCCCTCCTGAAGTGCTCGCGCTGGGGGCAGCGTGCCCGGAGGCGAGGGGCTCTCTCCTGTCCCATGTCCCCCAGTTCCGTCCCCAACCCTGTGCCCAAATGAGATGCAAATCTCTGCGCTTCAATTGGCTCGTGCCTCGGGAAAGCAGCCACCATTTGCCCACAACAAACATGGCCACCGTGGCACCCCCCGCCCCCCTGAGCTGGCTCCAGCTTCCTCTCCTGGAGCCAGGAATATTGCGGCTCCTTGGCACCCCCCGGGTACCCCCCGGGCACCCCCGAGCCCTGCAGCGCAGGAGCGGAGCACAGCACAGGGCACCGCTGTTTTCCCGGTGGCTCCAACACAAAGACAGAGGCCAGGTGTCCCCGCGGACCCCACCCCAACCCCACAGCCTGCCCTTGGGCTCCTCGCACTGCACTGCCCCAGGTCCGTGCTTCGCAAGCTGCAGGCGGTGCCGCTGGGCGCTGGAGCACAGCGCGGATGCACAGCCTGGCCACGGCCACCGCACCAGCAGCGGGCTTCTGCTGCTCCACACCGTGCTGCACGGCTCTGCACCCTCACACCGAGCACACCCAGGACATGCTGCAGTCATCACACCACTGCCCCCAGCTGCCAGAGCTTGGGGTGTCAGCTCCAAGGGGCAACACTGGCACGTCCCTGCTGAGCAGAGGGGCCATCGCCCAGAAATCCCATTCCAGCCGGCAGCAAGGCGTGCAGGAAGCACCTTCCTCTCGCAGCACAGCCACCGAGGGCTGCAGCCCAGGCAAGCCCCAGCCCCTGCCCCAAAAGGCCGGCAGCGTCCCCGCTCCGTGCAGCAAGGAACTGCTCGGTCTGCGCCTCGAAGCCATGGGCTGTGGGCACAACCCTACACTGCCACCAGGAGAAGAGACGCACAGAAAGCCAAGCTGACTTATTCAATATTTTACCAATAGGGATTTAACTGCAGCTTCAACTTCTGCTTGCCACAGCGGGCCGTGTAGTCCTCCATGTGGCAGGGCTGGTGAGCAAAAAGACCAAAATCCTGCACTGCTTCACCTCTTGGAAACTATCGTGTGAAAATTTTCCTGGCCAGAGACCCCCACGCTCTCTACTAAAGCCCTGCTTGCTGTGCCCATTCCAAAGCCCTCCAGTCCACCAGAAGCATCATTCACTGCATCCAAAGGTCCTGCTCTTCGGGTGCATCACCTTCCTCTGGCAAGGAATGCTCCCTCCTGCACCTGAGCATGGCACGCCCCCACTACCGGCACCACACGATCCACGGCATTCCTGGGATGTCTGACATGCTTGGGAAGAGCTACAACATTATGTTCCACCAGACTAGTGAAGGGGTCGGAATCGCATTTTTAAGACACCAGAAGTTTTCTCAGTGACTGCCGAGGTTATTGGCTTCGCTGCCACTTAGCCCTGCTGGTGCTACCACAATATTACTGCGCGCTCCTGAGTCCCCTCAGAGGTGAAGCCTCCTTCAGGGATGAGGAATCTGAACCCAGCACAGAGGCAGCCTGGGGAGGGCTCCGGGCATCTCCTCCTGCACCCCCCGCAGCTCTGCCCCCAGCAGAAGGCAGAGGCACGGAGCCCTTATGGCCTCAGGGGGGGCTGGCCAGTGCTGCCCAGGAAGGCGCCGCCGCTGGGACCTGGCAGAGCCAGGAGTGGGGAACGTCCCCCTGGGCAAGGGGCTGGGACCCCCCTGCCAGGCACTTGAGCACAGTTTTTTTGTTTTTTGTCTTTTTGTCATTAAAACATCCCGAAATGACGAAGACAAAGGTGGGCTGTGCTGGGCCAGCACCCCGGCACCAGGGAGGGGCAGGCAGCTACGCTTCCATTGCTGAGCCCACAACAAAAGATCAGAATAGCAATGTAAAAACTCATGAGATTTTAACATATACAAAATTGGGAGCTTTTTTATTCACTTCCTGTTTTTGCTACTCTGTAAAGCCACAAGTTCAGTCTGTCAGTGCTTATATTGATTTGTTCTCTTTCTTTTCCTTTCTTTTCTTTTTATTTTCGGAGAAACAACTGAAATTTTTCATTTAACCACACGGCTCGAGGACCTGGAGCTTTATTAAAGACATCAAATAATGGGAAACCCGTGATTCGAGCTGAGAAAGCTGCCACAGCACCCCGGACTGCAGCCATGGCTCGGAGTGCCTTTGTGCTCCGAGGAGACACTGGCTCTGCCCTTGGACACCCAACGTGGCTTTTAAACTACGCAAAATAACTGCGGCTCCAAATGGAAGCGAGCACAGCGCACGCCGCAGCCCGGGTGCAGACCAGACAGCTTGCTCGCACATTCCCAGTAAAGCCCTGGGGATGGGATGGGATGGGGAGCAAATCTCCAGCTCAGCCTGCAGAAGGTGACCAGGGCGCAAGGCAGAGATTTTCCCCCTGCTCGCGATGGGAACCTGGGGCAGCAGCACCACGGAGGCGGCACACGCGTGGCGCGCTGGATGCACGGCGTTGGGGAAACCCGCTTATTCTGGAAATGAAGTGGACTGTGCTGGCCACGAGGGGTCACACATGAAGCTGCTGAGACAACTGCACCTCAGACACATCCAAACGCTGCCCGCTCGCTCCCCGGCGAGACCCCAGTGCCAGAGGTCTGCCGCCACCTCCTACCCTCGCTTCTCCGAGGCTCAGCGAGCAGGAGAACAAAGCACCTGCACCCAGCCCAGCCTTCTCCTCGCTGCTCAGAGAAAGAAGCAAACAGTCACTGCATTTCTGCATCCTCCCGGGGAGCTCTGCAACACCAAGGGGCAGCCGAACGCCCAGGAGAGGAGCCCACCCAGTGCTGCAGGAACCCGGGGTTATTTCCTCGGGTACTTTTCTCGCCGTGCCTGCGAGCCAGATGGAGGCAGCTCGAGCCCGACATTCCTCACCCCGCGCGGCGCGGCCGGTCACTTGAGCTGCCACATAAACGCCGTGAATGCCGTATTGTGCGCGCACACGGCTGGTGTGTGCGGGGATGGAAAGTCTCGCACGTTTTTTTTTTTTTTTTTTTACTAAAATTTAAGACGTGCTGCACACAAAGACCAGAGCTGATGAAAGCTAAATTAACTTTAAAGGATGAAAAAAGCGCAGCGCTGGGTTACATTTCCATGTCACCTTCGGCTTAAAAAAAAAAACGGTTCCAACTATTCTTCTCGTCGGTGAACAAAACCAGTGAAAAGAAAACAATAAAATGGGGCACCGCTCGACACCAGAGGAGCTCCTAGGAAGGACTCGGCGCCCCAACACCTCTCCTGTGCCCGGGGCAGCGGCCCCCCGCCGCCCCCCCCCCCCGGCCATGCAGGGGCTCCCCCTCGCCACGCCGCCGCCCGCAGCGGGGACGCCGCAACGCCCGGCTGCAGCGCACGGAGGCGCAGAGCGGCTCGCCCAGCCCAGCGGTGCTTACCGGAGGCAGCGGTCCCGGGGGGGGTCTGAGCGGCAGCCCCGCGTGCAGGACACCCCATCGCCCGGGGGGGGCCCGCTCAGTCCGCGCACGCCGCGGGCACCGAAGCGTTCGGGCTACGGGAATTCATTGCCCTGCGGCTGCCGCGCGGTTGCTCGCAGGCTCCGGGCCCGCGGTTGCGAACTCCCCGCGGTGCTGACTCATCTTCTTCATGCCCGTGAAGCACCGAGCCCGGAGCTCCACGCCCACAGCCGCCGTGCGGCGGCCGCTCCCGCTGCCCTGCCCGCCCCGGTGCGCGGGGCCGCGGCGCGCTCCTTGGCTCGGCTCGGCGCGGCTCGGTTCGGCTGGGCTGGGCTCCGGGGAAAGCGATTCCGAACCGGGCGCTACCTGGCCGCGAGCCCGCGGGTGGCACCGCGACACGGATGGCCCCGCCGGGTGGCACCCCCCGCCCCGCCGGCCTTTATTCATTCGCTCGCCAACCGCTTCAGAACCACAGCCCCGGCTCCGGCACCGACCGGGGGCTGCGCGGGGGCTGCGTCCCCGTGTCCCGGGGCTGCCCCGCGCCGCTTTGTCCCCGGCCACGCCGCGGCCCGGAGCCGGTGGCCGAGCCCGGCTGGGACCGGGATGCTCGGGGCGGGACAGCGCCGGCACCGGGCGGACACCGGGAGGACACCGGGCGGGACCGGGCCGGGTCTAGGCTCCCCCCGGGCTGTGCCGGGAGCCCCGCAGCAGCCCTGCACCGTGCGGGCCGAGCCGTGCCGGGCCGTGCCCAGCCGTGCCGCACACGCCGCCAGCCGGCCCCGCGCCCAGGGGAACAAAGCGCCGCGCTGCGGCTCTGCGCGCCCGCACCGGGCCGAACCGGGCCGGGCCGAACCGGGCCAGCCCCTGCCCATTGTCCCCGGGCCGGGCCGGGCCGGGCCGCCCCCCGCGCGGGCAGGAAGGGGAGGGGTCGCGGCAGACAATGCCTCCCCCCCCCCCCCCCCGCGCCGTCACGGCCCGCCCTCCGCTCCCCATTGGCCGGCGGGGAATTTGGGGAGCCCCCCTTCTCCCCCCCCGCCGGGGGCGCGCGCGTCGCATTGTGCCGGGGGGCGCGCGGGGATGGGGGGGCGGGGGCGCGCGCGGCCGCCGTCGGGGGCGCGCCCGGGGGCTCCCCTTGTGTGTGCGTGCGTGCGGGGCCGCGGCCGGGGCCGGGGCCGCAGCGGGGCCGGCCGGCGCCATGGAGGAGCTGAGCAGCGTGGGAGAGCAGGTCTTCGCCGCCGAGTGCATCCTCAGCAAGCGGCTCCGCAAGGTGGGCCCCCGCCGCGCCCCCCCCCCAGCGCCCCGGCCCCGCCGCCGCCTCCGCTAACGCGCCTCTCTGTGCCTCTCTCCGCAGGGCAAGCTGGAGTACCTGGTCAAGTGGCGGGGCTGGTCCTCCAAGTGAGCGGGGCGCGGGGCCGGGGGGGGGCGCGGGGCGGTGCGGGGCGCGGGGGGCCGCCCGCCCGGCCGCTTTTGTTCGGGCCGCGCCGCTCCTTTTGTTTACAAATAAGCGCGGCCGCGGCCCGGCCCTCCCCGCCGCCGCGTGGGGCTGAGCCCCCCCCCCCCGACGGGCCGGGCCGCCCCCCCTTCGGCGCCCCCCCCGGCGGGCAGGCACCGGCCGCGCGTCCCCCTCCTGCTCCCCCGGGATGCGCGGGGCTCGCCTCGAGCGGCGCCGCCGTGGCCGCCCCCGGCCCGCGCCCCCCCCGGCCCCTCGTCCCCAGCCGTCGGTGCTGGGATGCCCCGGGCCCCGACGGCGCCCCGAGCCCGGCCACCTCCGTCCCCATCGCCGCCGTTGTGGGAAGCGCGGGGCCCGGCACCGGGTCCTCGGTCCGGGGCTCGCGGAGGGCCCGGGTGTCCTCGGCTGAACTCCCCGGGGCCCGGCCGGTAACGGGGAGGGGGGGGCGGCGAGCGGCGGTCCCGTGCTCTCGCCCAGTCCCGTCTTCTGTTCCAGGCACAACAGCTGGGAACCCGAGGAGAACATCCTTGATCCGAGACTGCTCCTCGCTTTCCAAAAGAAGTGAGCAAACCGTAAATATTTCTAAACGAACGATAAAGTCAATTAACTTCTAATTGGCCGCGCGTGCGGTGGAAGTTGTGGAAACAACAGACCGGGGCTCTCCGTGCCTTTTGTGGCACAGCTCTTTTGTTCATCTCCTGAAATTACAGTTCAGGTCCACCTAGGACGGCTCTCCCCAGGCTGGGTAAACACGGAGAATTTATGGCCCTGTGCACAATCTGTTTGTGCTCGCGCCGCACAATGGGCGCACGGCAGCACCCAGCAGAGACCTTTAGCTCTTGTTCCCCGACCAGCAGCCGGGGCCTCGGCTGTGCTCGGGGGGTGACTGCACGCCCAGGTGGGGAGACCGCTCCTACAGCTACAGAAATGGTGGGCTCAGAAAGGCATCCATGTATTTACGGAGGGCATAGCTGCGAGAGGGGTGAGGAAGGAATGGGTGGGAGAAAATGGTGTCCTCTGCCAGAGCCGGGCTACGACACAGAGCCGAGCTGTGGGCTGCAATTGTTCTGCAGCTATTATACACCGGGAGTCAGGCATGGAGATAGAAAAGTAGCCAGCTGGCTACATTAAGCACAGTGCTGCCAAATATTTTGGCTCCATATTAATAAAAATCATTAAAGTTTACGATAGGATTTAATTATAACTCGTTTCTGGAGCCATTTTTTTTCAAGAATGGAAGCTGGTGGTTATTGCAGGCAGCACGGAGTTTAATCAGCCGTATGTATTACAGCTTAACACTGTCCCTTTTAAATGGAGAAACACCAAGTAGTATCGTGACCTGAACACATTCTCAGTACGGTCACCCCGGGCTTTGCGTGGCTGTTGGCCCGGGCCACCACCTCCCCACCGAGGATGCAGCAAGGGCAAAATGAGCCTGGTGAAAGAGAGAAAGCTGGGACCCCAGGGAGTGCCATCGCTGCCCCTCTCAGCCCCTCAGGGGCTGGCCTGCTTCTCGCCGGGAAGGGGAAGCGCAGCTCTGCGGGTGTGTAAATAAGGAAGGGCTCAGCAGAGACCGTTCAGATGCATCCGTTGTTCTGTTCCCATTCTGCCGGCAAAGCAGCAAATTTCGCTGCGAATTGGAAAGGTCGCTGGCTTGGGATGGGCAACGCTGTGGTGCATCGCTGAGCACTGGAAGCTCCTTGCTGTGGGAATGTTCTTGTAGTAAATGAGGATGCAAACAAACAGCTCTGCCTCGCTGCCACAGCCACCTCGGTGCCCTGGGCCCTACAGGGTGCAGGCTGAGCGCCCACACACCAGGACGCCGCTCCCAGGGGCAGCGTTACAAAACCGATGCCTCCTTTTGGAAGGTCTGTGGCTGGCTCCAGTGGAACAAAGGTACCAGGACCAGGGCAGCCATCAGGACGGTGTTGCCCGGCGGATGGAGCTGTTTGGTAACCGCATTTCAGCCATCCATGCAGTTCAGTCCCATGTTTTATGCAAGAGACTTTTTCTTTTCATCTCTCCGCCAGCATAGCAGGGCAAATGCTTTCTTGCTGAGCCAGCTGAATATCCTGCTGTCTGGACAGCCATCTTTGTCCACCATTTTTTGTAGCCCTTTTCTCAGTTTGTAGTTCTTTTTTCTTCACATTCTTGGCCCAAGTCTTCCAGACGCCGTAGGTCAGCTGGCAGAGCGATGCTCAGAGCTGAGGGAAAGGCTCGTGGTGTTTTCATTCCAAAGCTGCTGCTGAGGTGCACAGCAGCCTGACATATTTTAAATACTGATAGCAATGCGTGGCCCCCAAGTGTTGGAAATGGTCGTGGAAGGGAAGGGTGCTGCTACCTGGCCTGGCCCAGGTACCCCACGGGGAGGCTGCAGGTTGTGGGATGCCTTCCAGCTGCTGCTCAGAGCGGAGCTGAGCCCACAGCATCAGAGCAGGATTTTTTTTAATGACAGAAGAAATGGAAGAATCTGGCTGGGCTTGTTATTTTTTTTATTATTATTTTTTTATGCAAGCTTTGTCCTTAATCGTTTTTTTGTGATTTTTTTTTCCAGGGAACACGAGAAAGAAGTGCAGAACCGCAAGAGAGGCAAACGGCCCAGGGGCAGGCCCAGGAAACACGTGGTAAGTCCTGGAGGTGCTGGAAACCCACAGCAGAGACAGCCCTGGCGAGGCTCTGACCCTGAGGGGCACCAGCGGGTGTCTGTCCCACAGCACAGTGTCGTGGGTGCTGAGCCCACGGAGGGTGGCAAGGACACGGCAGTGCCTGCAGACCCTGTGGTAGAGGCTTTGCAGAGTGCATGTTCCCTGACTCATTTTATGGCAGAGGCCGCGTGAAACACAGGGAAAGAACCTGTGTGCTTGTCCAGGGCACCCTGCCAGACCACGCTGGAGGATTTGCAGTGTCCCTGGCTGTTCTTTGATAATTTGTCTTTACCCTTCTCCCTGTCCCTCCTCATTGCTTCGTAGGAACCAGAGATGCCCTCAAAAAGTAAGTCAAGTAGTTCCTCTTCCTCAACATCCTCCTCTTCTTCCTCCTCCGATGAAGAGGATGAAAGTGACCTGGAAGCAAAGAGAGGTCCCCGCAGCAGAGAGACTCACCCGGTTCCCCAGAAGAAAGCTCAGATCCTGGTGGCAAAGCCAGAAATGAAAGACACTTCCAGAAAGAAGCGTGGGCGGAAACCTCTCCCCCCAGAGCAGAAGGCAGCTCGGAGGACCGTGAACTTGACAAAAGTGCTGAAAACGTCCCGCAAGGAGGTGGGGAGCAGTGCCAAGCTGATGGGGAAGCTGCAGCCCCAGCACAGCACGCAGGGCTCAGGGATGGCTGTGCTGAAGGAAGCGCCGGGCACCTTGGCTGGGCTCAGCTCCGGAGGGTCGTCGGCAGAAAACCTCCCCAGCATGATGAAGAGCGGCTCCACCAGCCCCAACCGGGCCATCAGCTGGCAGAGCTCCATCGTGCACTACATGAACAGGATGTCCCAAAACCAGAGCTCGGCAGAGACCTCGCCCCTGAGCAGGCTCGCGCTGAAGTCGCAGGCATCGAGCAAGAGCGGCTTAGGGCTGGACCTAAAAATGAGGAACCAGAAAGGATCTGGGGAGCTTGGGCTGACCATGCAGGGAGCCAAGACTGCCAAGGTTCCCGGCGGTGGTGCTGGAGGGGACCCGAAGTCTGGGTTCGCTGCAGGAGCCCAAATGCTGCACAACGGCAGCAAGACGCCTGCAAGCTCGGCTGTGCCCGGGAGCCAGCTGGCATCCAGTCAGGAGCTGAACCTCCAAGCTTTAAACTTGCAGAGTGTCAAAAATGGGCAGAACGCAGCCGGGGGAAGCAGCCTCCCTCGCCACGTGTGCAGCGCCCTGTCCAAAAGCGCCGGGGCAGCGGCGAGCGCGGGTGCCGCCGTCACGAAGGGCAGCGGAGCTGGTGCCGGATCGAATGCTGCCAGCGTGGGGGACAGCAGCAAGAGTGAGAAGCAGGCGCACAGAGCGGTCACTGGCGAGAGGGACTTGGCCAAAGGTGGCACGGCCGGCACGCAAGAGGGGCACGTGGCCCCCGAGAGCCGCAAGGCAGCCGCCCTCTCCGAAGTGAGCACAGGCGAAGAGACCAGCTCGGACTCGGATCGGGATTCTGCTTCCTTCCCCAGCGTGGGTCAGAACATGTCCGTCTCCATCCAGACCAGCCAGGACTGGAAGCCCACCCGCAGCCTGATCGAGCACGTCTTCGTCACGGACGTCACCGCTAACCTGATCACAGTGACGGTCAAGGAGTCCCCCACCAGCGTCGGGTTCTTCAACCTGCGGCAATACTGAGCCAGGGAGCGGGAGAGGAGGGAGGCGGTCCCCAGGCCTCTCCCGTAGCCTTGCCCAGCTCTCCCGTCAGGTTTTTCTTTCTTTAGGTGAACGCCCCATGGCAGGGACTCGCATGGTGACCGTCCGCCCCTGCCAGCGGCTGCCTCCGTTCCCTGCAGCGCGGCGCCCAGTGCTGCAGGCAGTGCCAGCTCGGACACTGTCTGCAGCACCCACGCGCACCCCGCGAGACCTGTTGAGACTTGTGCTCAGAGGGCCAGGGAAACGTACGGTGAAACCCGCTCAGAAGTGCCAGCACATGAGGGAGTCCCTTCCTGCTGCCCTTCGTCCTGCCAGAGCCGGGGGCCAGCACCGTGGGCCGGGAGCGGAGGCGTTGTGCTGCCGGGAGGGGACGGGCTGGCAAGTTCTGAGCCAGGCTTCACCGTACGCGGCTCTCCCTGCTTGGCAGCTTGAGATGGCAGAACACAGCGCAGGGCTCTGGTGGCAGGGAGAAGGGGTGGAGGGGCCACGGGCCAGGCTGACGCTCGGGAGAGGAAAGGAGAGGAAAGGAGAGCCTCTTCTCTCCTCTGGGCGCCCCGTGAATCCACCTGCAAGCTGCGAGGACAGTCACAAGTCGATCCAAATAGACAGCTGATGCTCCCAGCACCCAAGGGCTGGGGGATGGCTGTGGTACGGGGGTTTTTCAGGGTACATTAAGTCCAGCCACCCCCCTGGGCTAGGTCAGTTCCAATGATGGTGAAATCCACGATGTCTCCGTTGTGGTTTCCAGCTGATAAGGAAATACTGTTTACATTTTTTATTAAGGGAAAAACCTTTTTTTTAGAGGGAGGGGAATAAACCCAGTCTAGCAAAGGCTGAATGGGAGACACTGATGAGACAGGGTGGCAAAGATGCCTCTTTGAGAGCAAGGGGCAACGGGCAGCAGGCATCGAGTCCTGTTGTACAGCCCAGTGAGCCCAGAGCCGCTCCTCTGCCTCCGCCTTGGCCTCACACTCAGCAGCATCCAGGCACTTGCAGGGACCAAGCTGGGGAATATTTGTTCAGTCCTGCAGAACATTCAAACTCTCTTGACAGCAGGTAGGTTGGTGCTATGGCTCCCAGTTGGCTGAGGTTGGTGCTGGAGTTGGGTTAAAAACCAGCTGGACCCAGTACCGCTGTCAAGCCCCGTGCCTTGGATGCTCATCGGTGTTGAACTGTGCTCAGTGTCCCCGTTTTTCTCCAGCTGGAGGGCTCGGGGGCTGGTGGAGGACAACGCCTGCCCGGGTTGCCCAGAGCAGTCGGCAGCAGGCACCCACTGCTGCTGGCCCCCCAGGCTGCGGCATCTTCTGCGGCCACCTCGCCCTCCCGTCCCGAGCCAGCAGCTGGGTTGTTAATTCTGGCTTGTAATTGCAACCAATAATGGCTTTTTTACTGAGGTCTTTTTCCCTGCTATAGATTACTCTTACAAGCCAAAATTAACAGCAGTAGTTCAGGCAGAGTTTAATAGCATTTGAGGTCATTTTAGTTCTGTTAATGCTGAACTCCTTCTCTGGAGAAGATGCAAAGCCTGCCGCCTGCCAGGTCTCTGGGTACGTTATTAGGAAGTGCCTCCAGGGTCTGCGCCGTGGCTCGGGGTAGCTGCAGGTATGGCATCAGCATGGCTCATCGCTCACCGGACCACTGTGCCCTGCCACGGGGCCGAGCATCTTATTTTGCCATGGAGGGGGCACTTGCGGCCTCGGTACCCACAGGAGCGCAGAGAGGAAAAGAGACCAAATGGAGGGTACATGTTTCTGAAGCCCCAATGCATCAGACCACCACGGCTGCGTTGGCTGCCGGTGGTGCAATTCTCAGGTGAAATGAAAAACCAGCGATGGCAGCGTTTGCTGCCTGGGTGCGAAAGGGACGTTGTTCCCGTTGTTCCCTGCGTGGTGGCTGCCATCTCCAGGAAAAGCTCCTGTGGGCTAGAAACGGATTCCCTTAGCTTGTTATTTAATCTGCAGCCGTCCTGTTGGTCATGGCTTTGAGATGGTTTTGTTCTAGAGCTTGAGTGCAGCATCCTGCGGGAGCTGATGGCGAGCTGGGGTGGGCCAAGGGGTATCCCTGCAGCTCCTGTGCGGTTGTCCCCATGCGCAGCCACGCTGCCTTGAATGTCACTTCGCCACAGTGCCAGGCAGCTGGGGACCAGGGGGATTTGCTGCAAGCCGCCTGCAGAAGGCCTCGTGCAGCCCCAGGCCTGCAGCGGGCTGGGCTCTGCTCCACGAGGCAAAGGGCCCCAGGGAAGAGGTGAGCCTCAGGTGAGCCTCGTCCACAGATGGGGTTCCCAAAGGACAGTGTCCGTGGAGCTCCACAATGCCAAAATGTCAGTCTGTTATGTTTACCTTGTAGTCTTTAACGTTGCCAAACGACGTACGGTTGCTTTGAAAAGTCCAAGGAAACATCAGCCTGTGTTAGCAGAAACGAGCACTCCAGGCGCAGCCTCGCGTTCTGGGGGGGTAACCGAGGGGTTTGTGGGACCTCCGAGGTAATGCCCGGCTCTCTTCCCCACACACCAAATGTTTGCTAGTTGGCCTTTGCAGATCCAAACTACACAACAATGTGCCTTTTGCAACTGTCCTTACTTCAGCCTTGTCCGTGACACCGGTCCTACGACAGGTTTGTGCCTATGCAAAGCTGGGGTGGTCACAGGGTGCTGGGGACAGCCGCGACCCCACAGGACACCCAGCCCCGAGTGCTGGAGGTGGCCGATGGATGCTTCCGAGGGGAAGCCGGCCCGGCAGGGATGCTCTTGCCTAGGATGGGATGTGGGGCTGGTGTCCCAAGCTGGCTGCCGAAGGGGAAAAGCGTTTGAGGATGGTCTGAGAAGGGGTCAGGCACTCAGCACCCCCAGAAGGTGCATGAGGTGAGACAGGAGGGCAGATGGCGTGGGCATTGCTCACCGGCTCCGAGAAGGCTGCTCCCTCCAGAGTGCCCCATCGCAGCCCCAGTGCCTTTCTCCTTCTGGCAGCTTGCTCCTGCCCCGGGCCAGGCTGACGCCCCCCCAGGCTAACACCCCCCTGGGAGGGCGAGCAGCCCCATGGCTTCACCCAGCGTCCCCAGGCATTGCCCTAGGTAGCGGCAGGACTCTGCTGTCACCGCTTTTAGCTATTGTGCCTTTCTGCTCACCAGCTGGTTCGATTCCAAAGGTTTAAGAATGGTGAAAATGATAATCCAGAATTTTTTCTAAACTTCATCTCATCCCTCCCCCCCTTCCCCAGCCCCTCCTGACCTCGTGTTTCAGGACCTTGACTCTCCCAGCGGCGCTGGCGTGCGTCTGAGTGAAAGGTTTGTGTTGAAGTTTGCCTCTCAAAGGCACATTATGTGAGTGATTTACGGAAATCTTTTGTGGACAGAGGTTGAAAGCTGATGCAGACCGTGTTTACCAGTCAGTGCCATTAGTATTCAAGGTCTACCTTTTTATTTTTTATTTTAAGTTTGCTGCTATGGGTTTGAGTGTTCAGTTGTGTGTCAAACAACCAATTAAAGGTTTGTCACTTGTCATTTTCTAAGGGGTTTCCGATGTGGAAAGTCCTGCAGTATTTGTATATTGAATGGATATTTTCTCCAGGCATAATCTGGTTAAGTATACTTGTTGTTTTCCATTGGACTGGAAGAGGTGGCCAATTCAGCCATCTTCCTTAGAAGCCTAGTATATTTTTATATATATATATTTGTACCAAAAAAAAAAAAAAAATGGAGCTTGTGGAAGGACGGGGATGGTTTCAGGACGTTCAGTTTGCTTTGAGTTTCTGATCTGAGTGTGAAGGGCTCCAGAGAGGGAGAGGTTTTTACTGAAAGAAATTGGGTGAAAACAAACAATTGTTCTTGTAACTTGCGCCAGTCACTGGTCTGATTTGTATGTTTTAATTAAAGAGAGAGCCAAATCGTTCCTGTATGACACTTATAATTGCTTTAAACTACAGCTGTTTGTTTGCTTTTATTTTCAGAGAACAAAAGTTGGAGATGGTATTACCCTGGGAAAGCTTAAGTGCTTTGCTGGAGCAGGACAGCCGCCCGGCCCGCGGAGCGACGCAGGGCTCCCTGGGCCGCGGTCACCCTCACGCCAGCTCGCTCGGTTCCGTGCTGTGTGGTTCCTGGGACTGCTGGACACTAGTGCTAGTTTAGACCTCTAGGCTACTTTTAATTTATTTGCAGGAAAACACTAGGAGATGCTACGTCGGGCGGGTTTTTTTTTTTTTTTCTTTTTGTATAACTTTTCCACTGCTCTTTTTTTTTTTAGTATATCAATAAATATTTTTTTTAACTTTTCAGCCTGCTGTGCTCACTGTGCCAGCCCGAGCAGGGGGAGGCAGCAGCGCAAGCCCCGCTGCTGCCTTGCGACCCCGCATCCCCTGGGCCCCACGTTCCCTCCCCGCTCCGGGAGGCTGCAGGGAGCCCCCGATCGGTGCTCCCCAACCCCGCGGGGACCGGGGTCGGGCGAGGGAAGGCTGAGGGGAAGCAGAGCCGTGAAACCGCCCCCCCAGCTCCGTCCCGAGCCCGGGCTCCGGCTCCTACCGGCCGGGGGGAGGCTGAGCGGGGCGCAGGGGGGGCTCCGGGGCTGGGGCTGCGCTGGCCCCTGGCTCTCAGGTGCCTCCGCTCCGCGCCCGCCCGGCCCCGGGAGCCGCCCCGCATGTGCTGATGGAGCCGGGCCGGGGGCGGCGGCCGCCGGGAGCCGCGGGGCGCGCAGCGGGCACGGCCGGCCTGGGGAGGGCGCTGCGCGGCCGCGGACGGGTCCGGGCGACGGCGACTTCCCGGGCCCGGCCGCCCTGGCGGGGCTGGGGGCGAAACGGCCCCGAGGATGGACCGGGCCCGGAGCCTGGGCTCCGCCGTCGGGGCTCCCGTCGGGGCGGCCGCGGAACGGAGGTTCCCGGAGCGGGAGGGGCAAGGAACGGAGCCTCCGGGGCGGGGGGCGAAGGGGGAGAAGCGGGGGGCGTCCGAAACGCCCTGGGGGCGGGGGGGGGCTGGGCTCCTCGGGCCGCGTCCCGGGGCTCCGGCAGCCGGGCCCCCGCCCCCCCGCGGGCCGTCCCCACCCCCTCCGCACCGCCCCGGCCTGGGGCCCCGCCGCGCCCGTGTGAAAGGGTCCCCCCCGCTGGGGCCGGGGGAGAAAGGCGCCATTGTGCGGCCCTTTCTCCCGCGCCTACTTGACACTCATTTTCCGCGCACAGATGCTGACAGCTCTGATAATAAGGGGGTCTGCGCCTTTCACCCAGCGGAGCAGAAAAAGGAGGTTAATGAGGACACAGCTTAAAAAAAAAAAAAAAAATCACAATAAAACCCCCTCGCTTCCCCCCGGCTGCGAGGCCGAGGGAGATTTGAATACAAAGGCCGGGCTCGCCGGGCAGGGGCGGCCGCCGCGCACCGGGGCCCCGGCCCCGCGCCGTCGGAAGGCCGCGCCGTGGCCCCCCCGCCGGCCGGAGCGGCTCAAGGACGGAGCGGAGCGGCCCGGAGCAGTTCCCGTGCCCAGCCCGGCACCCGAACGCCTTCAGCGGGGCGCAGCGGCGGCCCCGGGGCTTTTCTGGGCGCGGAGCGGAGCCGCGCACGGCGCCCGCCGCCGCCGCCGCCCCGTCCGGGCACCGCGGCACAGCCCGGCCCGGCGGCCTCCGTGCTCGGGGGGGCGCCCCGGTGCCGGCTCGGACCCTTCCTTCCCCGGCGGCTCCTGGGGGCCGCCCCCTGTCCCGCACGGCCGCGGCTCCCAGCCCCCCCCACGTCGGGGCCCCGCCGCTGAGCACCCCCGGCCCGGCGCCCCTCGACCGCCCCAGTCCCCTCCGCTTCCTCGCCCCCCAGCCACAAACGGGAGAAAGACACGTTTCTATTTACAAAGTATATATTTAAACTCACATAAAAAGCAGGTCTCATATGGACATTCACGGCTGGCAGAAGACACGTAGTTAAGCTTCACTTCTGAGACTGAGATTTAGCCAAATCTTTTTTTTATACAAGTCTTAGATTTAAATAATTCACACACACACACACCCCCACGCACACACTCAGTATATACGTCGCTATATACATACACACATATACACCCACATGTATGTCTTGCTTTGTATACGTGTGTGGTGGCCACACACATATACAGGTACACAGGGCTGGAGTGAAGCACAGCGAGCCTCCACCGGGCCCCGGCAGTGGAGCGAGGCAGGAGCTCTGCTCTGGGCTGTTCCGCAAAGGGAGGTGGGTTTCTGCCTTCAGCATCCCAGCAGGGGGAGGAAGGGCAGCCTACATCCCACCATCGTCCAACCGACAACACCTCCCGTGGCAGCTGCCCAAGCACTAGCGCTGAAACCAGCACGCTGCTTGCCTCGGCTCTTCGTACAAACCAAGTTAAAAAATCTCAATTTTACAAAATATGCCGTACAACAACAACAAAAAAAAAATGAAAACAAACAAAAAAATAAATCACAGAAATGGCTCCCTTTGTACAGTCAATACAGCATCCTCTTGCTAGGTCATCTGACAAAGGCAAAGGTCCCAAAAGATGGAAGGGGAAAGGGGCTGAGCAAGGTGGAGCCGCAGTTATCCAGATGGGCCTACCAGAGGCAAAGGCTGCTCCTCGCCCGAGCCCCTTCCTCCCCCCGTCAGGCCCCATGTGCTTTCATCTTATGTGCAGTCCCCAAATTAGAAAGCGTTTAAGAGCTTCACCGGGCCAATCAGAAAGGATGGAAAAGGCCAATCTCTCCCAGCCCTGGCCCTCGGGGGCTGCTGGACAGATTTGTGCTTTTGAACCGACAGAGATGCTCAAATCAATGCGTTAGGACATGAGGACACCTGCTCTACATCAACTAAAAAAAAACACAACGAAACGCTTCTCCTCCTTCCTAGGGAGGGCTAAAAGACCCCGACCTCTCCTCACCTTGGTTAAGCTGCAATGGAGTTTAGAGAGAAAGAGCGAGCGGAGGAGCGGGCGGGCAGAGGGCTGCAGCATCCCGCGCCTCCTGCGAGACGCTGCCACGGGCTTTCTGCAAGGCAGCCGAGGGTTTCTGGTCAATGCTGGCGGAGGGAAGCTGCTGCATTTTGTTCAGAGCCATTAAATCCCGCTGCTATGCCCTGCCTGAGCCCTGGGAGAAAGCTGCACAGTCCTTCAGAGCCAGAAGAAATATGCAGGCAAATAAAAATACAAAAAGCCACCAGAGTCAGCAGGAGCTGCTCTGCGCACAGGAATATTTAGCCTCTTGGCTATTGTTTAACTAGCATAAGAAAAGGGAAATATTTATTGTCTCTGAATGCATAAAGGTGGCTCTGGGATTTGTCAGAGATGTGGATATTAGAAAATGCTTTATCTGGAGTCTTCCAACAGTCTAAAGTGATCTGTGTTTGGAAAAAAAAAAATCCACTTTCTATAGCAGTATAAAGCATCTAAATATGGGCAGTGACATGCTACCCTCCCAAACCTCTCTGGCATTTCAGGAATGTAAACAGAGTTGTTGTTTTTTTTTGAAGTGGGTGGGGGAAAAGAATCAAGCGACCAGACAAAATGAAAACAGATTCTCAGCTCAGTTCTGTCTCCCACAACTGCTATGACAATTCTATTAAAGTGCATTTCAGTATCACCCCTTTCAGGAATCTTACACACACAAACCTCCTCTTCCTTCACAAGAAAAGGTAATTCAAGTTAATACTCCACTAGAACAGTTTTAACCTTTTTATGGACTTCTGCTTTTCCCCGCCCCAATTTTGTAGCAACTTTTTTTTTTTTTTTAAACTGGCAACGCCCCCTCCCCAACAATACTGTAAATTCAAGTGCTTACTTCAACTGTCAAGGGCAACAGTTCTGGATACAGCACACTTGATTGTACAAGCAACACCTTATATCACAATCAAGAAATCTGGGCACTTTGCCCTCCGAGGGAGTAACACTTCCCCCTTCACCATCCATAGCATCATATGAAAAATAATAGTTAAAAAAACCCAGAACATAATTAGCTATGAACATCACTCATTATGTACACCGGCTCCTGCAACAGATGCATGAACTCCGTTAGTTCTCAGTTTTATTGTCCTTTCTAAGAGCAACTGAGCAGTCACTGTTGTCTCCATTTAAATAAAACAACTCAGAGTTGAAATATATATATATAGATATATATAAGCATTTTTTCTTAAATAACATATTTACATCTAATAGAAAATATAACTCTAGAGATAATTTTTCCAACGAAATGTAAGACGTGAAAAAAAAAACAAAAAAAAAAGAATGAGTTAATGAATTTAGGACAGTTTCTAAATCCTCTCCAGGAAATTAAAAAAAAATTTAAAAAAATAAAGAAAAAGGGAAAAAAAAAAAGCCCACCAAGCTCTAACCAAGCTTTTGTCTGGATCTAGACCGAAGAAAATCCCCAGCACCACCACTGACAGAAACTCATCGCTTCTCCTTAAAGAATCCTTGGTCCGTGCTGCTCTCCTTAATTGTGACGGTCAAAAAGTTAGAGGTCACGTCAGTTACCACCACTTTCTCCAGGTTGTTGAGGGACGGGCTCCAGGACTCCTCCTCGGGGTCCCCCAGGATCCTGGAGACGGGGATCCTGGCGATGAGGGAGGGCCGCCCCGCCTGGCCGCCCACGCCGTCGCGGTACAGGCTGCCCACGGAGCCGGGGCTCACGGCGCTGTGCAGGATCTTGGGCCCGCCGGGATCCAGCCCTCCTTGCCCCTTGGGGTCCAGAAAGTCCGCCCGGTGCTTGGCGACCCGGGGCGCGTAGCTCTCGGCGGCCCCCAGCTTCATACCCACCTCCACGCGGTTGGGGCTGGACATGGTGCCGGAGAGGTCGGGGTCCGGCCGCCGGGCGAGCTGGATGACGCTGTGTCCCGAGCTGAACTTGGCCGCCCCCGCCGCCGCCTCCTCCATCTTCCTGGCCTTGAGGTAGTCCCCCACCTTGTCCCCCGGCTCCCCCAGTTTCCTCTTGGAGGCATCCAGAGTCTCCGCCAGGTCCTTGTAAAGCTCTTTCCTAGGCTTGGGGCCTCTCTTTTTGGGGGTTTCCCCGGGTTTCTCTTCCACCCTGATAACCCGGTCCCGGATGCTGTCTCCCTTGGGGGTGCTGCTGCTGCTGCTGCCCTGCGGAGCCAGGGCTATGTTTCTGAGTCCTTCCCTAGCCCGGGACGTGGAGCCCAGGTCCTGGGGGGAGCGGCCGGGATACGGCACCCGGATCCCCCTGGAAGAGTCACTGCGGAATTCATAGGTTTTGGCTTTCGCTTTTGCCTGGGCCTGCA